TATATATATATTGTTTGGTTTGTTTTTGTCGTTAAATGTGTTTCAGTGGAATATCACTGTAAAAATTAATAATAATGGTCACATGAGAGCAATTTTAACATCTAATATTATCACCGTTTTTCTTATTATATTCACTGAAAATAATTCAGCAAATAAAAGGTGGCTTTACAACCCATAAACAAATAACACAGTTTAAAGGAAGTTCGAAGTTACCAATAAGATGCGTGAAGTCCACATCCAATCTTTTACTGTAGCCAAAGTCAGGGTCCATCCCACTGCGATGCAAAACCACCTGAGCCACACATTCTTCTATCACCTTGTAGTACTGAGGTCTGTGGGGTCAGGAAACAAAGCAGAACAATTAGACAAGAGAGATATGACTGGCACAAACCCCACGAGGCTAATTAACCACAAATGATTCTCTTATCCAAGCCAGAGGTCACAAAATGCCATGTCAAAAAGGGTGATGCTGGAGAAAATAGGTACCCCATTAAATGTGATCACTTGCTTCACCCCATCATGAAATTAGCAGATTAATGGCTACACAGAATTCACGCATGTGATTGTCTGTCCATTTCAAGGTGACTGACGGTAGTCAAGGCTACGCTTGCCCTCTTGCATAATTTGCAATCTTCTTTGCCAATTAGAGCAACCATAAAAACCAAAATGTAAATCTAATCAGTGTAATGTGTGTAATTGAAAGCACAATGACCAGGAAAACATGTCAGCCAGTTAGGAGTGTGACTGAGTGCTCGGCGTCGTCAAACGGGGTGTGCGAATCAGCCTGAGAGTCCACCGCCGCCGCGCAGGTTGGAATGTGACCTTTTCTGTGTAACATTATCAAGTTTAATTGCAAGTGACATTTAGCAAATACAATGCCGTCTTAAGCTGAGCTTCAAACTGAGAAGTAATTATTTTCTAACCATGACACAGACCACAGTTTGATGTTTAAATTTATAACAGAAACCATGACTTTTTATTCTGCCAAAGGCTCAGTTCCTTGAAATATACAAGTCAAGTTCTAAACCCAAGTTATAGATGGTTTAAAAGTAGGTGCTAATTTGCCCCCCAGTGCCAAAACTGGTTTATATACAGAAACTAACATTGACATATCAAATCAAAGTCAAGAAACAGTGAGGATGTCAGGACACTTTGGGTATGTCTCCTTGCAACATTAATGAAACAAATTACACATGAATACTGCGACTGCTAATTCTGTTTCCCAATTATCACTTGCACAAAAAGTACAGGAGTCAATAAATTGTTTATAAAGTCAACAATTATTAACAGAACGATGTTTGTATGAAGACTGGTAAGTTCAACTTTTGGTATCCAGTGGTCAAAAACCTGATTGCAATTTAAACTTTTGTGGTTTGCTTTATGTATGTATGCAATCTAAACCATGTGCATTGAAAAATAACACCATTGTACTACAGAGTTTATTCACTGCTGTGGCAGATGCTAACTCAAGATGTAAAATGGACAGAAAAAAAAGCATTGATGAGGACCAATAAAGTCAGTGGTGCATCACACAGCAAAATGCAAGAGAAACAAGTATTTAACAACAGTTCAGATGTTCCTGAAGGTCAATGGTTGGTTTAAAATAACTTTAAATGTGACTGACTGCTACAACACAGTTTAATTTAAAAAAGGGTGGGGTTGAAGAATTATAATTGCAAGATAAAAACATTACCATTTTTAAAACAAACATCCAATGAAATGACCATATCAGATTATTTTCTTTATAATGAGCTTAATTCCAAGACAAAGCAAAAGCTCACTTCCTCTATGTGTTATAAAGAAAGAAGATTGTGATCCCTAGTATATATAAATGCTATCCATACTTGAAAAAATGTTTTGCAAACTTTCAATGTGATCTACTATTTCACACCAAGGGGATGACAAAAAGCCAACTAAAAGTTTCATAAATCATTGGTAGATAAATATATTAGAGCTAAATATGTGTTACCCTCACTAGATTGTCCAATTCATTTAGCCAGAAATAAAGATGCCCATAAGCCCAGAGACAACTTTGATTCGATAAGAATCTCAGTCTGATCAAAGCTTGGCTGCCTGACAGTTTTGCATGAAAACACTGAGCGAGGAGGAGGAGCATTACCGCTGCTAAAATGTGATAATTGATTACAGGAGGCAGAACTGTGAACACACTGTTTGGTGCCAGGTAGGTTAATTTTGTCCAAAAATACCAAAAATATGCAGAAACACAGTATGTCTGAAGAAAAAAAAAACAAGATAGTACTTTGTTTCAAGTGAACTTTAAATGAAAAGGACTTAATAATACTTTAAATCTAACAGTTACATTAAAAGTCTATTTTTATAAGCCCGCTTGTGGGTGGACAGACCTTACAATGTGAACAGAAATGGTAAATAGCAGAAATTCTCAATCCAAAGTAAATAAGAATAAATCAGTATTTAGGTGTGCTGTTTTGAAAGCATGAAACACCATACACTAAGCTCGAGCTGGTGGATTCGCCCACTCATGATTGGCACAAGCTGGTGAAAGCTCATATTTCGCCCTACATGGCTTAAGCACTGTGGCACTCAGCTTACAACTGTCACAAATGCACGCCACATTATTATCTCAATAAGCCACCCTTTTTTCCCCCTTCGTCCTCTATCCTCCACCAAGCAGATAGAGACTGGGTGGAGATAACTAGAGACGGAGAGAGTGACCCAGAACTGTCAGACCCTTTCACAGTGGGCAGGGCCGGGCTCCCGGAGCGAGCATATGTCCTCAGTATCATCCCCAACCTCTTCTTGTACTTTGGCACCTTCATTTCTTTTAGTGATGGCTTGTAGTTCAGCACAACACCAGCCACTTGATCCAGCTCTGCTCCACATAACCAGTGTAATCCCTGCATCGCCAAGCTCCAAAAGAGCAGATCTGCTTCAAATTTCCTGGGTGGGTTTGATGTGTTCACATTTATTAGACTTGCACTGAGAGATTAATTATCAAAAATAAACCCAGCCCTGGAGGGGAAGAAAAAACAACCAATGTTTTGTTGAGGTGAATTATTGTAAACAGTGCAGTCATATAGTACACATTAACAAAATTGAAAGGATTTCTGCTTTCCATCATAGTTTGACAAAATATCAGATGTACACAAAAATAAATTCTGCATCAACAAAATTATCACAATTTTGATGTTTCAAAAACAATAACCCGTTCTATGCATTCATTCATAAAAATTGTTAAATATTCTCCACATTGCTTCCACACTACCAATAACCTTGTGCTTTTTGTGGTAATGGCAGCTCTACAGGGCAAATGCCACATTCCCCTAAACTAACCACAAGCTCAAAAGCTGCTAACTTTGAAAAAAGACTGCATCTATTGAAAATACTGCAAATGCTGCAGAACTGCATCTTTCATCATTGTAACTCTACAGCTGTGATGTATGGAGAATAAAATGTCTCAGTCATAATGTATTTCTGGTTTTTAATGTTTGTGTGTGCGTGGTTTTATTATTTTTTTTACTTCAAAAACATATCTTTAAAAAGAACATTATGTTTATCTGAGCGATCCTTTCTTTTTTGCTGGCTTAAATGAAACACTGGAGCTGAGGTGAACAGGATGATACAAGATAGTTAATGGGAATTCTATTTCTCACTTCCGCTGAGTAGATGAGGAATACATAATTCATAAATCCAAGGTAACAGCAACTTGTCTCTGGTAAATTCATCTACCTCCTTCCATCCTCCCTTTATCTTAAAACTTCCTTTTTTAAGTCTTATTTCGAGAAAAACGTTCTAACACAGCATAGAATTAATCAGAGACGCTGCATTCAGGAGTCACAATCTTCCTTTACAGTATATGACTTATCAGCTCTTTGAGTATTAAATAAAAAGCAGACCCATTATTTTAGAATAGCTTAACTCTATAACAAAACGATGTCTTTACTGCTAATGCATCTCAACAAATGAACATTCATGAAGTGCAAAGTAATAGTAGTCATGTGCCATTTTACAGCTGATTTTTGCTGCGTACCACCTTAAAAAAATAAAAACAACTAATGATGGGTGTGGCCAAATGTTCGATAAAATACGTTTAACATGTAGAGATGAGTGATGCAGCGCTTTTGTTCCAAAAAATAAAATTCAAAGTAGGCAGAAATGTGGAGATTTAAAAACTAAGCAGGCTTAAAAAAAATGTATAAAAAAGTTCACACAAAAGTGAGTTTTAAACCAGAGTCTTGTTTTTCATGTTGGGGCCTCTGTGACAACATGGTAAAGTCAAGGTGCAAGGGAAGAACTTTTCATCTGAGGAAAACAAAATGCTACCTGTAATCATAACACCAGTTGAAATTATAATAGCATTCCGAAAAACAGTTACACAGACTAAAACAAAGTTTGGGCTATAAACAGAGCAAAGACAGAGATACATTAAGAGGTCATTGCAATACGTACCTGGCCAGAGAATACAGCATCTGACATAAGCTTCTGCTCCATCTGACTAAAATGTTTGTTATTTGAAATTCTCTTGCCTATCACAGCTCTTAAAGTGCCTGTGACGTAACTTTTTTATAATAAATATGATTGTATTTTTGGAAAGATAATATTGATAACATATTGTAAAAAGGATTTCACGCCTCTGAGAAGAACAGTTGTTGAGATATTTGCATATGAAGTAAAAGGAAGTGATGTCAAAGGGGAATATCTGCATGCGAACAGAATGTTGCTAAAATGGCTAACAACACAGACTGTAGAGAAGAATCTGATGTTTCTTTATATTATTTTAATCACTATCATAGAGAGATGAGAAGGAGTCATAGTTCAAATAATTTTAAAAACCTGGGAGTTCCCTTTTGATGTCACTTCCTGTTTCACTTTAGCTGAGCAAAATTCAAAAGAAAATATGCCAATTATGAGAAATAATGGATAAAGTAATGTGTATTATGCTATGTTTCTTAAATATAAATATATTTTCTTTGACTTTTTGTATTTCATGGATATGCACGTCACAGGCACTTTAAACTTCCTTTTCAATACTGCTTTGAAGCCACTTGAGTTCTTAACAGTGGATTGATTTAAAGCGCCAATTTTTCACTGGCACCAGTTTTGCTAAAAGTTACAGATACAATATATAAGTTATGTGCAGGTGGTAATTGAACCTACTAAGAAAAACAAAATTCTAAAAGAGTATACAGAGAGCAACTCTGTCATCAGTCAATACAAGGCCAGACTATTTAAAAACAGAACTTACCTGATGTAATAGTCATTCCTGATAAGCAATAGGTGCTGAAGCATTGACAGAAAGTAGGTCTCTGAGGCAGTGTCTTTCACCATATTTGACAGGAGATGGTACACCTCATTCATATCAGTGGAGGAGCAATGTTAAGGAAAACAACTTTTTTTTACCGTGTTGCATTCTTTTTTTTTCTTATCTTTTAAATAAATCAGGTAAGTATCAGGGCTAACTTCTTCAGAAGACATCCAGTCTGACATTACTCAACTCCTGTAAACAGCATCACTATTTCATTATATTTTATTTTCACTGAAACTATTCCTTTTCCCTTGTTCTTTAACTCAGCTTTTCTGACAGGCATCACTGTGCAAAAGTCAACAGAAATATAATTCCTCTTATCCATTATCTCTCAGGGGAGCTATGACAGTGTAAACAGCTAAGTTGAAAAGGGGGGACTGGCGTTGAAGAGTGCTCCCACAGGTTCACCTGTCATACCAGACTTTTTTTTAAGAAATAGGAAGCTAATTACATGACAAAGACACTGAAAGCTTAAAGGTTGTGGGCCAAAAATCACGAGGATGTGGTATTTTGCAGGGTAAAATTATAGCAGAGGTTAAGTCCCCTCATCAAAACCGGTATGAATTCAGCAGCAAATCGGTATGTTATTAAATCTGCAAAAGCTATTGATTATGTGTTTTAGTTTGCTTTGTCCAAAAAGGTAATGATGATACATGTGGAATTTAAAGCAGTCGTTAAACCAAATTGGCCTTTTTATTTATTTTTTTAGTTTAAATTTAAAATGAACTATTTCTTGATTATTTTCAAAGGTTCTAATTTTCTGAAAGAATGCACCTGAGATTACACTGATCAAAGATGCAAGGAAAATGTTTAATGTTGAAAATAGATAATCAAGAACTAAGAATCTAAAGATCATGGGCCTCATGTGCAAAGATTTGCATGGATTTATTACTGAAATGTGGCGTACGGTCAAATCCAGAAAACTGCGTACGAACAAAAAAATCCATGTTTCAAACCGTGCACATTTCTTTTGTACATCACAATTAACGTGGAACTGAGTGCAGGTAAGATACCTCCCCTGACGCCTTCATTTACATATGTTAAACAGATGCAAATTACTTCCTGCATGTGTGAAGGACATGTTTGAGTGATCCCTGCGCAATCAGAAAAGATTTCTAGATTCAGGAAAATAATTAATTGAATATAATAAGAGCGAGAAAAAAAATTCTAAGTAAGAATAGGAGTAAAATATGTTTGTCAAGCAAAGAACGAGTGATTTTGTGTCGGTGTGTGTGCGTGAAGCTGCTGTGGTGCGCAACCGGCTCATCCATCTATTCGGAGTCTGGAAATATTAACTTTGCGCACGAGTTTATTACCATAATTTCTGTAAACACAGAGGAACTCGGGTGACATAGATCTTTGTTTATTTAAGAGCTGATATAAAGAAACGAGTCTCTGCGCTTCGGTGATAGTTTTTATGATGTGACATGATGTTGGGGAGTTAGAATCATATGGATGAAGTTGTTCTGTTGGGCATGATTCGGCTTTGGGTGGACTGGACTGGCACAGTCCCGATCGGTCTGCCAGCTCCCTCTGGAAAGCTCCTGCAGAACCTCAGTTTGATCGCTGCTTCTGCATGTGCACGCGCGGCGCACTGATCCTCGCTGTGTCGTGCCCCCAGAGCGCAGCATTGCCAAACTGAAAAAGGATTTTTCCTCAAACGGCTCCATAAATGAGCCAGTTGTCATCATGGATCAGGAAATTCTATCTGTTTATAAATAAACGCTCTGCGTGTTACACTATTTATTAAATCCTCCAATAAGGCTGAATCCGTTCCTGTTAAATGTATTTTTGGCACAACTTTGCGCATCCTTTATCTAACTGCATCCATGTGGATGTAATAATTGTTAATCATGTGGATGTAATAATTGTTAATCATGTGGATGTAATAATTGTTAATCATGTGGATGTAATAATTGTTAATCATGTGTGTCTGGTGTGAACAATAATCATTTTAACATCATGAACAGTTTCTCAGAATCACCTCTAAGTGTTGCCAATGGAACCAGAACCACAGAAACGTGCGTACGCCAGCCCTGGAGTTGGCGTGGCTGTGCACATTTTCACGTTCATTTCAGTTTTCATACATCCAGAGTTTTGCTTTGAAAATGGCGTTCGCAAGGTTTTTGTGCGTACACGAGGCCCTTGCTGAAGAGAAGGGAAACAACTAAAACATGCAGGATAGTGGGCCATGGTTTGTCTGATACAGGTGAATTTTTCCAAAGAAGCTGATCATGTCCAGAAAATAAAATGTCTCTCACATTTGCACTTTTACAAAAAACAAGTAAACTAAAGGGTTTAAACTGTTTTGCTTCTCAAGTTTTGTTATTCTGAACACAAATTATTGATCCTATTTAACCTGCGTTAAGATAATTAGAGATTAAGTGACACATGGTGTCACCATATGTTGTAGACGCTCTCTCTTCTGTATGATAAAGGGAATGTAAAAAGAAAAATGTGGCAGAAATTAATTCATAATGTTAAGGTTGCTAAACTCACAACTGCAAAAAAGATCAATGCTTTTAAATAGCAGCTCACTTTTCTTATTAATTTCAACAATGCCTGTAATTAAGCTGCTATTCAATATTCTTAAAAGAAAAAAAAAGAATGGAAATCAAAGCTCTTCTAAAGTATCAGTCCCGTCCCTAGCAATACCAGCATAAGAAGTTTGAGAAAATTACCAGTCCAGTGAGATTCAATTATAGCCTTGCCATGGCCCAATTTTCAGAAGGAATAAGAAGTAGCTTACACTGGAAAGGAGCCAAACCAGCTTCATCTATCACTAAACTGCAGACAAAACTTAATGTAAAACACCAATCTATTCAATCTCAGCTCTTTTTCTTCACTTTCAGACTCTCTCTCTCCAAATAATGAATAAACATGAGTAGCAGTCAAGTGTGATGTAGGCCAGTCAGCAGTGGGGTCAATCAATCACCATTCCACACTTCATTAATATTCATTAAGGGCCTGGAGTCATCTCCTCAGCACCTGGACCTGGAGCCGGACACAGATGAGACGAGTCTCTTCAGGTTAATATTTATGAAACCGCCGGGAGAAACAAAACACATGTGCAATGCTCAGGTGGTACAAGTTTTACCTGCGAGACATTACGTGTGTAGGTTTGTGTGTGTGTGTACATCTGTGCGCACAATGCAGACAAAAGGACAAAGGGTAACCTAGGCATTCCAATCATGCCCATACCTCACAGATCAATACCACATTGTCCTTGGAAGCAAACATTAAGCCTTCTAATTTGTGAACTTGCTCGAGCACATCATTAATCCAGGTACACCTTTTTTCCCCCCTCACTCTCGTCTCCAGACACACACACACACCACCTCCTCCCCTCACTTACATGTGTCAACAGAAACTGTCACTCAATGTGGCACTTTTGTGCTCTTACAAGAACTGTGGGATTTGGTGGAAGAAAAAGGTTGCAGGAATGAACATCTGCATAACAATGTCAGCGTCTGGTTCGTCTGCTCATGATGTCAGCTATTCAGACATGGCCTTAGAGAAGATTTGTGAATTATTAAAGAGTTCTTCTAGGATGCTTGAAAAAGTTTTCCCACTAAGGACTAAATTACTGCTACGCCTATTAACTTCTACCCTGCCTGTTGGGAGCCAAATTTCATGAAAAGCTAGAAGTCAAAAATTCATCTTTTTAAACTAGTCCAGAGAAACAATAGGTGCTAATACTTGAGAATTTTCCACTTAGCCCAAAACTAACAAAGAACAAAAAGTGAAGTAAAGAGAAGAAATAGACAGGAGAAGAAGAATAAATAAAAAGGCTGAGCAGGTTAAAGGTTAAAATGACAGGGTTATTTACCAAGTATACCCAGCCAGGGATGGAGCTGGATATTGTGGACTGACTCGTCTAATCCTTCTCTAATGAACAAAGCCATGAGTGGGATTTATCCTGTAAAGCTTGACCAAACTCACAATATGCACTCGCGGCTAGTTCTGTAGGCCTGTATATCACACCTCTGTATATTCACACAGACAAAGGACAAAAGGATATTCCATCTCGGCGCGGATGTCATCCAGACGGTGGGAGAGTTCGATAGCATCTTCCTCCTTGTTCTCGTTAAACACCCTCAGCTGGATGTCAAGCTCTTCTGTCTCTTTTATCTCCTAAAATTTGTTAAAACAAAAGTGGTGCATGTGTTACAAATGGTCAAAATAGTCTTTTTTAGCTTTATAGCATGTAATAACGTCATTCCCTCATCAAAAACATACTCAGAGTGTTGCTTTGACTCATTCATGCATGTTTGAGAAATCCTTGAATCTCCTGTGGTAGCCATGTGGAGCTGCTTAAATGCTTGCTGGTACAAAGCACCGCCTATTTACACAAAGCTCCTCCCCAACTCTACACCCCCCCGAAACGTTGTGAAGATGTGCTGAAGTGGAAGTGTCAGAAATGGTAGGAGGTTCTTAAAGGAAAAAAGACCAATTTCAAAGCATTTAGATATGGCTACACTGAAAAGTCTAATTTATTTTTGGTTTTTACAGCATTTTCATAACAATTAAAGGTAACATAATGTCTTGATTGTGGTATAGAATTAAACTTTGTGCCAGGAAAATACATAACAACTACCATTTAAAGTACCTGTGACATGATTTTTTTAAATATAAATTTAAAGGCATTATTGGAAAGATAACATTATTAGCATATTGCAAAGATAATTTTCCGCTGCTGAGATGAACAGTTGTTGAGATATTTGCATGTGAAAGAATAGGAAGTGATGTCAAAGGGGAATATCTGCATGGAACAAAGCATTGATAAAAAAAAAGCTAAAGACACAGACTGTAGAGAAGAATCTGATGTTGTTTTAGATGATTTTGAGTCAGTATCAGAGACAAATGAAGACGAGTCAGAGTTCAAATAATTTTGTTTCAATAAACAAAGATTACGGAGTTTTCTTTCTTAAAAAGTTCCCCTTTGATGTCACTTCCTGTTGCACTTTGGCTGAGCCAAGTTCAAAAGAAAATATGCCACTTATGTGACAAAATGGGTAAAATCACATGTTTTATGCAAGGTTTCTTATATAAAATGTGTTTTCTTTGAATTTTTGTATTTTATGGATAGACATGTCACAAGCACTTTAATCTTTGCATTCCTAAAAACTTGTTTTATTACTAACTACTGCTGGTCTGAAAATCTATAGCAGAACTATACAGAAACATAGAAACTAATATACCCTGAACTTTCCCACCAAGTATTTCAGACAAAAGCAATTCCTGCACACCTGTTCCAGCCACAAGGGGCTACAGGGGTGCTCCTCAACACTTCTCTATGAATCACCGGCAGGGAAGTTTACACACTGAGACAAGACCAAATGTAACCCAATTTCTGTAGGTATCAATCACCTTGTGCTGTTTTTTAGGCGCACCATCTGTCTTCAGCAGGCAACTTTGGTTTAGAGGGAGGTGCACAATGGCACAAAGAGGAAAAAAAGAGGAGAGCCAAATAACTGCATCAAGGACTATTAGAACAAAACAAGTAGTGCCCTCTTTTCTCCGTGGACTTTTCCGTTTCTTTGCCAACAGCTACACACTTCAGAGCATAACTCATCATTAGATGAAGAAGTGTCATGCTGAATGTGAGTAATAAAAGTGGTAAATGTGGGATTCATAAATGGCTGTACATGGAGGTCCTTTCAAATCAGAGGGCAGAATTGAAGATAATTAAAGTAATGACCGTAAAAATCAACAGGAGCAGCTGGGATGACTTATTAACAACTGGCTCTGTGACACATTCACCCCACTTGCGACAAATGAGAGTTTGAGTGATGAGCTGGAGCTCGCTTGCCTTCGGCTCATGTGAAGGTGTGTAAAGTGAGGTTACTGATAATGATGCCCGTGTGCAGAGGTGCTAGCTACGCATCGCATTCTCCACAAGCCTCTGCTCCTACAAATCAAACTAACTGCGGCAGGCCGCTCTGTTGAGAATTTACATCGCAATTACATTCAGTTTAAAAATACCATTTTAATCAGTGGATTCTGTTTAAACAATTACTAACCACGTTTGAAATTCAAAAGGCACAACAAAAGATTCTGGGTTCTGTCATGGCAAAAAATAAAAAAAATGTTAAAATTGCTCAACTATAATGAGAGAAAATCTGAACCTAAATTACAAACACCAAACAAGGCTCTTTAATTTAAGTAATTCTACCTTTACTGGGAGGAAGATATTTTAGTTATATCACCTAAAAAAAAAGTCAGGACCACTTCTAATCTTTGAAAACTTACAGGAAGGATCTTCTTTAGACCACATCTTAAAAACTCGTTGCGTAGATGTATCCGAAAGTCCAGGTCATCAGGTGACGTGACCAGGGCATTGATCAGCTGCATGCAGGCTACCTGTGACCAAAACAAACAAGTATATACTGAATAAACACGCACTTCCAAGTCCAGGTTTATAT